AAATAAAACTGTAAAATTACCTCCTTCACCCCTCCCTCTCCTCAGTCCTCAGATTGAACCACTGCTCTGAAGTAGGTGCCGATAACCCCCACGCATACGCAGAAGCGACACATAGCTTCTAAATATAATCAGAAAGGCCATGTAGCATTTTAAACCTGCATTTTGCATTTAACTTTTGAAATGTATTCATATCAGTAAAAACAGATATGACTCTCTTTAGCATATGTATAACAACATCCCACGGAGGGCTGGGGATGTAGCTCAGTGGTTCTGTCGCCTGCCTCACAAGGGCAAGGACCCAAATTCCATCCCTGGTATCAAAAAAAAAAAAAAATCCCACCGAATTCAATTACCTATTGCTAGACAGCAAGGCCTGTGATTCCCACTTCCTTGCCGTAGAAACTAATTGTCTTTCATGTTTCAGGGCCGTAGTCTCACCTTGAGATGGGCACCTGCTGCTGTCCCAGCCAGAGCTCCCCGATTCCTGCTAGGCTAAGAGTAGGTGAGGGCAGAGTAGCCAAAACTGTGTATACTCACAGCGCTCTACATTTAGCTATACAACCCCAAGCTGGATGGGCTAAGCTTGTTTCTTGAGGCCCTGCCATGGGGAGGTTGCACAACAGGGTCTGTGAGAAAGAACAAAGCAAATAATGTCGATTCTCCCTGCGGGGACTTTGGAGCACACCAGACAACTACGGTAGCTATAGACACAAGTCGTGCAACTCCCCCCCGATGAGCTGAAGAACCGAACGGGTGGGGAAGATACACTCTTTGTATCTTACTTTGTTTCCCGTAACTGTTGCCTCGAAGATTTCGTAGGAGTTTCTTAGACGGCACCCTTCTCTAAGGCACAGTAGATGAATCTCACTCAGCCGAAGTTAAGGCTATCTGTCCCTCCTGGCCTAACAGGTGACCAAAGGCATCCAGCCGCCACCTGGGAGAAAGCGCATGAAACGCCCGTATTGCAAGGAATGCTGAGGCGGACGCACCCAGAATGACTGTGATGAGAAAGAGGTGAGCAACAGGACGTTTAGCAGATGTGAACAGGAAATTCACCGCAAGGAAGCCTAAGTAGGGCTGCGGATTTAGCTCAGTGGTTCCACTGCCTGCCTCGCAAGCACCAGGACCTGAGACTGATCCCTGGTACCAAAACATTTAAAAAGAAACCTAAGTAGCCAGTAAAGGTAGGGAAAGAGGTTCGACCTCACTAAAATCTGGGGAATTACAAAATAAACCGACACGAAAACACCACGTCACTGGCACAGGCTGTGCTGACGTCAGCAGTCATGGACACGGCTGTGGAGGAACAGGACCTAGAACAGATGTTTCCCTGGGAGACGGTGTCACCGACACCCCGGGCAGTGTCTGGGTGGTGTCTCATGCACCGGAGAAGCCCACAGCACTTCCTGTGAGTCCCGGGTGCTCTGTCACTGTGCCAGCACCCAGGGCACATAGGAGCCCAGCCGGCTGGCATTCACCAGTCTGTCACGGACCACACATGGCTCTCCTGTGCCTCGCTGCCTCCCATGCCTGTTTCTGTCAGGGCCCAGCCACGCGTGTCAAGCAGGCAGAGTGTGGCCCTCTCCCACCCGGGGCTCTTGGCTTGTGTCTGTGCTTTTGGAGCTGGGCAGGCAGCTGGGCCCTTCCCCGTCTGTGTCACGTGTGGCTCGAAAGTGTCACGGAAATGGCTGTGATCTGGGAGGCTGGGGTCCAGGCCCTGCCCAGGCCTGCTGTGCGAACTGCCCACAGCCCTGCTGACTGAGTCTGGAAGGTGTCCAGCCACCCTGCCCTGTCCAGCCCATCAGCAAGTGAGAGCCCAGCACTACCTCGGCTGCAGGCTTTGGCCAGCTGGGGAAGGGAATTGGGGTTATGCTGGTGACTGCAGGGCTGAGGCCAGGGACATGGCGAGGCCGTGATGGACTCTGACCAGGCTTCACAGCCGCCAAGAGTCAGGGACAGGAGGTGGCCAGACAGGAGAAACGTGTGGTGGCCGGGGCAGGGCCCCACAGTCCTGGAGGGGGACAGCGGCTACAGTGCGGCAGAATCTGCCCAGCTGCCTGGGTAGCAGGGCCAGAGCCGGACAGGAGAGGCCACCAGAGGTAGGTGGTGGGGAAGAGCGGTTGGGCCCTCGGTGTCCCAGCACAGAGCAGCATGCAGAGGTGGAAGACGGGCGGCTCAAACACAGTGCCCATGTCCCCAGTCTGGGGGCCGAGCCCAGGCCCTGCCCTATGCAGTCTGGGGGTCCCTTCCTGACCCTAATTTCTGGGACCCCCACAGCACTCGCGGCACTCCAGGCCCTGCAGCCTCCCCTGCGCGGGGGGCACCTGTCCCCCTTTGTCCCTCACCCCCTCTTCCTACAAGGAAGAGCGTCTGATGGACCTGAGCGAACCTTTTAATTTGATGAAACACTTCCACAAGGGTCCTGGTTCTAAGTGCAGCCACATTTGGGGGCCCCCAATGCTCGGGATCCCCTCAGTGCCAGCTCAGCTCAAGGTGAGAAGTCTGGCTCAGCCTGGCCCCCAACACCCAGCTCTGCTGCCCACCCAGCTCCTCGGGATGTCCAGGGCCGCACGTCCTTCTGCTGCCCTCCAGGTCACAGTGAGCAGCAGGTGAGGGAGGAGCCGGCCTGCAGGTGTCTGGCTCGGGCGGGGCTGGGCCTCCGCTGTGCAGCTGTCCCGGGTGAGGAGACATCCCCACCTCGCTCCATGCCGGGCGTTCCTGGAATCCTGGCTGACACAACCATCCCAACCCAGGCCAGGAGCTCAAGGACATCTCAGGGGCCCCCAGAGCGGCCAAAGCCGTCACCTCGGTGACCCCTGGAATGGGGAGGCCCCTCCCCACACAGGGTCCTGGTGGGAGCCACTTCCGGGCCAGCCGGGCCCTTCCTGTGGGGACCGCCAGGTCTGCTGGGCACCTGCCTGTCTGTCCCAGACGGAGGGTCCTGGTGGCCACCGTATTTGGGAGTGGCCACGTTAGGATCTGACCCAATTAGGCCTGAAGCCCCTGACTGGGGGGCACAGGGAGAGTTGCAGGGGGGGGCCGTGCCCAGGCAGCTGCAGAGTGGGCCCCGCCATCTGCCTCGCACCTTCTTCCTATGCAGGAGCTGACAGTGGCAGCAGGAGGCAGGCAGTGAGGAGTGTCAGGCAGGCTCTTCCTTGTCTGGAATGCCCTTCTGACCCTCACTCATCTGGTGAACTCCTACCCACCCTTCAAGACCTAGTTAAATTTCACCCCGTCCTCCCAACTTGAATCAATCGTACCACCCCATCATTCATGTTTTAAGTCTTGTCCGTCCCCACTTGGCTGTGGGCTCTGGGGTCAGGGAACTGTCTGATGTCTGGAGGTCCCAGGATCTGGGGCCAGATCACTCACTTCTCGAGTCTGACCAGGAGGCCCAGCACACAGGTCAGGGCAGGGGCCAGGGCTCCTGGGACTCTGCACTGTGTGAGGCTGGGCGGAGAGGAGGGCGGAGGGCCTGGGCCCTGGAGGCACTTGCTCATCCAGGCTCAGTGTCCCTGGCTGCCACCTGCCAGGGTGAGGCCCACAGTTCTGGCGCCAGGTGTGCACACCCGGACAGGGAGGCAGGTGGGACCACTCCTGACTTCAGCCTGTAGCTATGACATGGATGTGTCACTGTGCTGCCCCATGGTCCCTGGGCGGCACTAGGGGGTTCAGTGCCCCACAAAGTAGAGACAGTGCCCAGGTCAGAGGCCTCGGGACCGTGCCCTCAGGGTGGCAGTGTGGGCTCAGACCATGGAGCTCAAGGGGCTTGGGGACCTGACCCTTCCACACCGGGTTCTCCTGGGGCCGGCCCAGATCCACAACCCACGAGGCGTCTAGTGTGAGGGGAGCAGGCAGGTGGGGGTCCCAGAGTGAGCTTTCTGGTACCACACAGACCCTGGTACCACACAGACCCTCCCAGGAAAGCAGGGCTCGGGACAGCACGGCCGGCTCTGCCTCCTCCCAGCCACAGAAGGAACAGCAGCCCAGGGTGCCGTGGCCTGGTCCACTGTGGAGGGCTGACGTGGCCTAGGTGTCGCAGGCAGGACGTGGCAGGTCCCACCAGAGGGACAGCTCCGAGGATCCCTGTGGGCTGTCGGGTGTCTTGCACACTCCCCACGTGGCCTGCCGGGGTCCACCCCAGGCAGCCAGGGCCTTCAAGTGCCCAGGAAGGACCCGGAGACAAAATCCGTTCCAGGCCCCAGCGCTGCGCTGGGGTGGGGGGCTGAGACCTAGGGCCCCCGCAGAGCCTTTAGTGCAAGCCTCAGTTTCTTCTCCCTGAAGTCAGGTTAAACTTTCCTGTCTCGTCCAGACCTATATGTGCCGATGTAAGAGTTCCGTGCAGAGGGCACAGCCCTGTTAAAGCAGCACGACTCAGCAGCTGAATCCGGAAGCAGCCTCAGTGTCCCTGTACGGATCAGTGTGTAGAGAAAACGCGGGGTTTCCACACGGTGGAGCCACTACTCTGCTGTAAAGAAGGATTGGCTGGAGGCATGTGTAGGAAAACGGGTGCCCTTGACACGATGATGCTAAGTGAAGTAAATCACATCACATGGTTTCTCTTATAAGAAAAATCCAAAGTACAAATAAAGAGAAAAATGAAGGACCGACAGTAGAAGCAGGGAGGTCTTTTTGCAAAAGAGAAGAGGACCAAAAGAGGGAGGGGAGGGGACGGAAACATAAGAAGAAGCTGTGTTATGCACATAAACCAGCTCCACTCAAGGAGTGACAACACCGACCAATAAAAACAAAGATAGAGCAAACTAATAGAAAAGCCAGCTCTTATTTTAGTAAGAGACATAGTGTTTATTGAAGGAAAGAAAAGAAAGAAAAGGAAAAACCTAACCTGGAAAACTGTGCAGCTGCTTCCCGATTGTGTGAGGGGAGAAAAAGGAAAATGAAAACTCAGAAGGGGCCCCTAGCAGGTGATTTTCAAAGCCAAGGAGGTGTGTGTCCTTTTTTTATTTAAATGCATTGAATAAGTGCATTTGTGCACTTATTAAAATGTGTTAATAAGAAATGGTTTTGCTGGTAAGAAGCAGAGAAATGATTTCTCCCTCCGGAGGTGCACAGCCAGACGGACTGACTTGGGATTGGTCTTCTCGGAGCCGCCTGCACTGCCCCGTGGGGTCCAGGTGGCGCCGCTCCAGTCTCTGCCTCAGGCTGGGCTCGGGGAGATGAACTCCGCCCTGGGGAGCTTCACAGGCAGACTCGGGCGGAGCCGGAGCTGGAGCCGGGAGGGGCCCCCTCCCCAGACAAACAGGAGGCCAGGCCGGGTGGACGCGGGTATAAATGGACCTCCCCGCCCGACTGCATCCGTGCCAGCTGCCTCGAAGCGCATACATTGTCATGGAGACCAGAGCGTTCTGCCTGCTGCTGCTGGTCATGGCCCTGGGGTCTTCAGGCTGGGCCAACCAGTACGTGGGCCTGTGTGAGTACAGCTCCGACTGCCCTGGGCCTGGGCAGGGACAGACCCCAGGGACAGGGAACACTGAGGCCAGCCAGAGGGACGGGGGAGGCTGAGAATCCCACGTAGCTGGGCCTTCCTGTCCCAGGCGCAGGCATGGAGGGAGTTATTGCACCGGAGGCCTGCGCTCAGGCCGGGTGGACGGGGCTTGAGCCCTTGCCGGCTGCTTGATGCCCTAGGCTTCCTCGACAGAGGTTTCTGAGGGGTGGGTCTTTGCCACCTCACTCCACAGACTCGGGACAGAGGAAGGCAGAGGGGGAACGGGTGGTCCCAGCACTCGCCCACACTCACTCCCTCACACACACACACACCCCAAGGATGTGCGCTGCCGGTGTGACAGCCTGACCCTGTGGGAACGCGGGCACAGGCAGGCGGAGACAGCGGTTGGCTACAGCCGCGCACACCTCGGGCGTCTCTGAGATCTCCAGCTCCTGCTGCACTTTCAGGCTAAGAAGGGGGCAAGTTTTTGTCCACTGGACAGGAAGAGAACTCTGTTACTGGGTTCGGGGGACCCCGACCAGATGAGGGTGCCCAGGTCCAGGCAGGCCAGGTGTGAGGGGCACCTGTGCAGGTGGCTTCTCTGTGAAATCCCCCCGGGAAGCCCCCACCCAGGCAGGGATGCGGCCGGGAGGGGAGCAGATGTGTCAGGTGAAGCATACAGCCCGCACCCCAAAGGACACCAGCAGCTGACCCGGATGTGTTTACGCAGCGCCCAACCAGTGCGTGGTCCCACCCAAGGAGAGGGTGGACTGCGGCTACCCTAAGGTCACCCAGGAGCAGTGCCAGAACCGGGGCTGCTGCTTCGACTCCAGCGTCCCGCAGGTGCCCTGGTGCTTCAAGCCCCTGCAGGAGACAGGTGAGGCTGGGGCGGAGGTGCGCGGGGCTTGGGACAGCCAGAGGGACACACATCAGGGACCCGGGAGTCCACAAGCCCAAGCCTCGGCAAGACACCCAGCACCTCCCCATCTCCCGTGCCAGGGCTGCTGGTGGCCAAGGACTGCCCCTTTCTATACAATGGCAGAGTAATGCTCTCAAGGAAGTGTCCACAGTGAAGGCGCTGTGTAGCAGGAGCGAGTTTAACAACTGTCTAGGGAGGAAGGGGAAGCTGCTAGGTTTGGAAGCTGGGCTGACTCTGAAGCCAATCAGCGAGTCGACCACCCAGGATCCCTTGTGTCTGTGCTTACAGCAGACAGCAGCTGGGGTGTGGTGCAAGGTGACCCCGGGACCCTCCCTGGGCGGAGCTTCGTGCAGACAGCAGCTAGTGTGCCACCCTGGCTCCTCCTCGCCCGGTGCGCCCCATCTTGGGTGTGGCTGTCTGCCATCAGCCACCTGGCATGCCCAAGTCCAGCGCACCATCTGGGAAGGAAATCCCTGGGCCAGGCACCTTCCTGGAAGTGGCACCGAAGGGGGCAGCTGTGTCCTTGGTCCTGGGGTAGCAGGAAGGAAGCCAGGTCCCAGCTGCTTGGTTCCCAACCAAAGACGGAGGCCCAGCCCTCCACTCAGGGCCTCCTCTTTCAGGGGCAGAGCAGGAAGAGGTTGGCGAGGGTCAGGACTGCAGAGGGCAGTGCCCAGCACCTCTGTCCCAGGAGCCTCTCCCCAGCATCTGTCAGGACCGCCCAGGTCCACCTGCCCTGCCCCTAAGCAGGGTCCCAGGCTGTTCTGAGCCCACAATGACCTGCAGAGGCCTGGCTGCCATGGGTAGAGGGGACACAGCTCATCAGAGCCTCTGTTTGGTCCCCAGAATGCACATTTTGAAGCCCGCCCAAGACCACCCTGGACAGAGAGCCCGGCTCCCAGCGGCTGGAGGTGCACTCCTGAGTCGGGTTAAAGTCAAGGCCTTGTGTCCTGAAGAATAAAGCCCCGTGTCAGCATAGGACATGTCCTCATGCTCGGACGCTCTGCTGTGACTTTCATTCTGCTGCACATTCTCACGTGTGTGTGGGGGGACGGGTGTCAGACAGACCCCAGGGCACCCCAGCAGGTGCAAGACACAGTGGCTCACGTAGCGGGGAAGGCCTGAAACCTGCCAGGTGACCCCTCCTCTGGGAGCCGAGAAGAAACATCTCACTTCTAAGCTTTAAAAATCACGACTGGCTGGGAGTGGCGGTGCACACCAGGGACCCAGCACACTGGGAGGCTGAGGCAGGAGAGTCAAATGTTTGAGCACAGTCTATGCAACTGAGCCAGACCTTAACTCAAAAAAGGAGCTAAGGACGTAACCCAGTGTCACCAGAACAGGCGGCCTAGGGTCCTGCAGAGCCCCACACAGTCCCCTACGTGTCCACCCCATCCATACCCAGGTGCGGGTGCTGCCCAGCTGACCACCAGGCTGCTGACACGGCCCCACAGGGCTCCTAAGTCACAGCCCACACTCTGCCCCTTGACCTGCCCGTGGCTCCCGGAGATGGGGTTCCCCGGCTTCCTCCCTGGAAAGAGCCCTGCTCCCTTAGTGCCAGCCCCGGCCTTGAGCCTGAGCTTTGCCACCCTGGTCTGGCAGCTAAGGGGACAACGCCCCTGGGGGACTAGGGACCAAGTTCGGAAATCTAAAACCCCAGGGCCCCTCCAGGGCCCAGCAGTGCCACCTGCAGGCCTGGGGGTCCTTTTGGGGCTGTGCTGGGCTGGCTTCCTCCTGGAGGACCCTGATGCCCTCCTGTCCTCTGGGGTCTGCCACCCTCTCAGGGTGACTACGCTCAGCCTGTGCAGCACTGAGTGTCTGGGGGATTAAGTGTCCCTGGCCACAGGCTACTATGGCAGCGTCCGCCTTGGGCCTGGGTGGACAGCTGAGTGCAGCTCGCTCCCACGTCCTGGTCATCATGGCCACTGCTGCTGGGCTCCTGAGGCTTCCGTGCTGCACTGCTGTCCCCAAGCCCTACTCTCTCCCCTGGACTCTAAATGCCCACGCTGTGCCCCCTCTCTGTCCCCTGGAGTAGGCACACTGGACACCGTCCACCCCAGGCCCAGTCCCCAGTGTAGAGGGACAAGTGCTCTTCTCGCCCTCCTGCACAGGCAGAGCTGGCCCCCGTCAGGAGGAGCCCGTGTGAGAGGCTGCCCAGCCGAGGCTGTTCCAGAGGCTGAGACCACCCAGGCGCTGGGGCTTCCCAGGGTTTTGAACTCGGGAGCTGGGTCCGGGGGTGATGTCGAGACCTGGGGACCTGTGCGTGGGTCTCGGGGGCCGCACACTCGCAGGGTCAGTGCCGAAGCAAGTCAAGACACAGGCTGTTGGAGAAGAGTTGCCCCGCGTCCCCGCTTCCTTCCCACCACCTGATCCCGTGATGCCCCTGCCCTGCCCCTGTGATGCCAACCACCCTGCCCTAGGGCCCAGCACCAGGAACTGAAGAATCGGTTTGTTGTAAGCACTCAGCGTCATATATTCGGCTGAACTAGAAAACTGACAGGCAGTTGTGTGGCTCCCAGATGCCCAGGGCCCAGGCCGGAGAGCAAGCCCCGCCCCG